AGGGAGAGAGAAAACCCCAAGCAGACTCTGTGGCTCCAGCACAGAGCCCAATGCAGGGCCGATCCGACCAATTCCCAAGTGGAAATCAAGAGTCAGACATTCAACCGACTGAGCCACCCAGGCACCCCTACAATCTATCATTAACAGCAGCCAGAAGGATGCTTTCAAAACACATGGTGTCACTGCTAGTCACAATCTTGAAATATCTCCACACTTCACTCAGAGTGAAAACCAAAGTCCTTACAATGGCTAACAAGAGTTTACAGGATCTCTCTCGTTCTCACCCCCACCTCTCGGTGTCATTCTCTCTTTAGATGTCACCTACTATTTCTCTCCCTCTTACTTAGTTCGCTCTAGCCATGCTGGCCTTGCACAAGACTGACACAGGCTTGGCGCACACCAACTAGACCTTTATTTTATAGCTCAGTGGCTCTTAAATTTTAGGGAACATCAGAGTCCCCTGAAGGGGGATTGCTGGGCTGAACCAGAGTTTCTGGTGGAGACTGAAAATGTGTGTTTCTAGCAAATGCCCAGACAATGTTAATGTTGCTGGTCTGGGTGGGGATCACAGTTTGAGAACCACTGCTATAACTGTTCACTCTTCCTTCTGCCTGAAGCTCTTTCCCTGTGTATCTCCTTGACTTATTCCTCCTCCTTCAGGCCTGTGCTCAAGTGTTACCTTCTCAATGAAACCTAGTCTGATCTCTCTACTTTCTGTTGCCACCTACGACCTCACTCCTGTCGCTCTTGATCCCCCCACCGTGCTCCACTCTGGTTTCTCTGAAGTGCTCATCACTTAACATTCTGTATAATTTATTTATTTTATTTAATCTGTCTCACCTACTAGAATATAAGCTCCTCAAGGGAACTACCTTCTAATTTGTTCACTCCATATATCCAACACTTAGAAGAGTGCCTAGCACATAATAGATGCTCAATAAATGTTTGCTGCATGAACGATTCAATACTTAATGTTCCTGTAAATTACAAGGATGAGAATCCTAATCTCTTCAAAGGCTTCCTATTTTCATGCTCGTTCCTTTATATGAAGTGTCTTCCCTTTTCTCCATCTCTTCACCTTAAATTTATTTATCTTTTAAGTCATATCATTCTCTTTTAACTACTTTCTACTGCAGTGACAACTCAGCTGTTCCTAACTATTCTCATTAGTTTCCTGGGTGTTATTTTGTCACTGAGAACAGAGACTATGTTCTGAATCAATGGCCAAATGGTAGAATCTGAATACATGCATGTTGGGTGATTGAACATTACTGTAAAGAGTGTTTAATAAAGCAATAGCTAGGATATTCCCACTTCTATAAATATCAACAATTTGCAAGTCTCACATTAAATTAGTCTAATCTTCGTAAGAATTTTTTTGGATTGAGTAGGAAAGATATTACACCCATTTTACATCGGGGGAAGTGAATTTAGGCTGAAATTCGGACAACAGTATCCACTTCATCAGGACTACATGTTGAAGTCATGCAATTTGCTACCACAAAGCTAGAACTCAAAATATGTTAGTTTTCTTCCCTAAGAGATCTTAGAAAAGCCATTTACATAAACCAATATTAACTGAATTCCTACCATGTGCCAAGAGCTTAATAAATCTTAAGCTTTATATTTCTAAATCTTTTTTTGTTTTTTTTTTTAATTTTTTTTTCAACGTTTTTAATTTATTTTTGGGAGAGAGAGAGACAGAGCATGAACGGGGGAGGGGCAGAGAGAGAGGGAGACACAGAATCGGAAACAGGCTCCAGGCTCTGAGCCATCAGCCCAGATCCCGACGCGGGGCTCGAACTCACGGACCGCGAGATTGTGACCTGGCTGAAGTCGGACGCTCAACCGACTGCGCCACCCAGGCGCCCCTGTTTTTGTTTTTTGAGAGAGAGAGAGAGAGAGAGAGAGAGAGAGCAAGTGGGGGAGGGGCAGAGAGAGAGGGAGACAGAATATGAAGCAGAGGGAGACAGAATCGACGCTGTTAGCCCAGGGGTTGATGTGGGGCTCAAACCCATGAACTTGACTGAGCCGAAGTCAGATGCCCAACAGACTGAGCCATCCAGGCGCCCCTATATTTCTATATATTATTAAACTACAATCTGGTGATATATTGCTTATTCCCGTTTACGGATGAAATAACAGACCCTGAAAGGTTAAGTAACTGGCACAAAGTTTCACAGCTAGAAAATGATGGAGCTAGAATTTGAGCTCAGCTCCCAAATCATGATTTTTTTCCCTTGGGCAGAGCATGGTGCCTCTCTGATGGCTTGAAACTCAGGTCTTTTGACTCAGAGTTCGGGGTTCTTGCGTGTATACCAACCACTAATTACTTTGCTGTTCTGTACTAATTGTTAATTAAATGATTAATTTTGAATAAATTTTATAGCATTTTAAATAAAGATTAAAATAAACTTTAGAAAAACTATTTGGTTCAGCCACAGGGTGGCGAATCTTTTTCTTTTCTTTTTTTTAATGTGATATTTATCTGCTTATTTTTCTTTTTTTCCCTTTTTCAAAAAATTAAATCCAAGTTAGTTAACATATAGCGTAATGATTTCAGGAATAGAATTTAGTGATTCGTCACTTACACATAACTCCCAGGCACCCCACAGCAAGTGCCTTCCTTAATGCCACTCACCCATTTAGCCCATCCCCCCACCCAGCACCCCTCCAGCCACCCTCAATTTGTTCTCTGGATTTAAAAGTCTCTTATGGTTTGCCTCTCTCTCTCTTTTTTCCTTATCTTTCCTTCCCTTCCCCTATGTTCATCTGTTGAGTTTCTCAAATTCCACATATGAGTGAAATCATCTGATGTTTGTCTTTCTCTGACTGACTTATTTCACTTAGCATAACACACTCTGGTTCCATCCACGTTGTCGCAAATGGCAATATTTCATTCTTTTTGATCGCAGGGCGGTGAATCTTAATGACTACTGCCTGATTTTTTTTTCCCTTTGGCTTTTACATACATAGAAAGTTAAAGCTGGAAAGGACCTTAGAAATCATGTGTCCTTTGGGTTTGTGAATATGAAAACTAAACCTTGCCCCAAATCAAAGCTAGGGACAGTCTGAGACCGGGGCATGTTTTGTTCTGTGCAGACCTTTCTTTTGCAGAGAGCCTTTTTGAAGGCTTTTCGGACAAGCTGAATGGACACCTGGGTGCTGGTTTGCATGGAAAGCTGGTAGGCAATGCTGGTGTCACCTTGTGGGAACAGAAGCACTCTTGAGAGGCTTGACCTTTCCTCCATTAGTGGCAGCTGCTTCTTCAATATCCTGCCGTAATCATTGCATCACATGGTAAAAGTCATTTGCAGAAAGGTAGAAACAGTCAAGCATTCACTGGTGTAGCACCCTAAGGTCCCAGCTCAGAGGACCAGGAGGAGCAGGGAACAGGCTGAACACTGGCCAAGTGCCTGACCGGCTCCTGTCTGAACTAAGAGCCTGACGTTCTACTATGGGTGTGTGCAGTATGAGATCACAGGCAGCAGCCTCTGGTTTCCAAAAGACATTTTCATATAAAAGGGATACCCACAGAAGGGTCTCTGTTGCCACTTGCCGAGAGTGGACAGGGGCCTGGAATCCACAACCACAGTGCTGAGATCGTTTCTGTTAAGCAGGTCACACTATGCTGACCATGTTTGAGGCTCATCTTTGTAGTGACATGGAAATGAAGGTAGAGGGAGGGCTCCCGGACCTGATCAGCCTCAAGTCTGAGATGGGAGTTTGCTCTTCTCCCCACTCCTTTGAAAACATCCTGGAAAGATGTCCAGCAAGTTCTTTGAAATGTTTTTTTGTTGATTCACACTTTAACATGACCACAGTCTTGGGGTAGTTTTAAGAGCAATCTTCTTCTGCATGTCTGTATAACATTGACCTTGTCAGTTAGTGGGCTCTAAAAGCTGGTTCTTTACACTGGAATGTATCAGCATTTCAAAGTGGAGCCTTGAGGCCTGTCAGACACCCCCACTGCAGAGTAGAAGCTCAAAATATTTGTTAAATAACTTCTTGGGAAACAATTTCCTCATCTGAACTGAAAGCTGATCAAAGGCATGAACTTGTTTTTTTATACCCTTTAAAAGTTGGTCTCTCTCCCTGTTTTTAAATGTTTATTTATTTATTTTTGAGGGAGCAGAAGCCAGGAAGGGAGAGAGAAGAAGCCGGCTCCTTGCTGATAGCAGCAAGCCCGATGTGGGACTTGAACTCATGAACCTTGAGATCATGACCTGAGCGGAAGTCTGACACTCAACAGACTGAGCCACCCAGGTGCCTCTAAAAGTTGGTCTCTTGTGTTCACTTAGGCAAAACTCTTTCTTCCGTGCTGAGCAAGCAACAGATACTGAGTATACACTTGATGGCTAAATGAACGGATTACAGGAGCAGAGAAGCAACAATGATTTAGAGCCTTGTTTTTCGGGTTTCTCTATATTCCCTGGCTGTGTCCTCCCATCCTCCACCCCCCCTCAGGACCTCACACCATCACACACAGTCAATGCCCACCCTCTGCCATCCACCCTGCCCCTGGCACCAGAGAGGGCCACCTGAGCACTTTTCCTATGTGGATTTTGCCCGAGGCTAGAGCCCTGCCAAACAATTACTTTCCAGGAACCATACGACTCTGTTCTGTTTCTGTAATGCAGCCAGAGTGGTGTGCCAAGGAACTGTGCAAGGGTGGGTCGTTCATGCTACTCTATCAGAAAAATCCACCATCAGGCTGTTCGCCCATTAATTAAATTGCCTAGTGTGGATGGAAGGGTGGGGAAGAGATCTGGGCAAGCTGTCTATTCCATGTTTAAGTGAATTTATATTCAACTTTGAAAAGGGATCGCAATTTTCTCTTCTTTGAGATTGAAATCATTTTACAAGTAAATACTGGAAGAGAAATGTGATTATGTGACTTTCTTTTTCTATTGTACTATTCTTATGGCTGATTATTGCTTTGATGTCTTCATTAAAAGATGATCTTCCTTCAAAATAAGGCTGGATCTTATGTCAGAATGATTGCAGGAAAGAGGCCTGGCCGAAGAAGCAGAGAAACTCTGGCTTCAGAAACGTTCAAGGTTTAAACATTGACTCTATCTCCGCAAGCCAAAGTGTCTGTTCTAAAAGAAGGTGATCATAGTATCCGCCGTACCTATCTTAGGAGATTCTTTTGAGGGGCAGTCCTCCTAAATGCTCCTTGAAAAATTTTATAATGTATTATTTTTCAATATGTTAAGGATGTGTTCCTTTGTTTCTTTTTAAGAAACTGCTGAGGCTAGTGATGACCATTATGTTATAAAAGGCCCCAGAAACAGGGTCAACCCTGTGTAAAGGTAGGAGGGAAAATGGCGATAGGAAGGGAAGGAGGCGTTAGAGTGCCCCCATGTGGCGACTTGGGTGTGACGTTTGGGAGGCGGCAGGATGGACCGACCCCGCTAGGGTGACCTGTAGTGAAAAAGGAAACCATACAAGAAGTCAAACTCAATGTCTCATAGGAGCATTTAAGTACCATAAAAAAAAAAAAAAAAAAAAAAAAAAGAATGTATTTCATGCAAATTGTGCTCCAAGTCACCAGCCTCCCTTTTAGGGTCTGCTGCCACTTTACATTCAATTTGCTGCTCTGGTGAACACAATGAAGTGTTTAGATTCCATTAAGAAACCTCAAAAAAAAAAAAAAAAAAACCAACCTTGAGCCTTTAGACTTAGAGGAAAGCTCTTTAAAAGCTTCTCACAAGCTATTATTTGTGCATTCAGAAAACCATTAGGACTTCCTCCTTTGGAAATCTGTGTGATTTTTTAGCTTCTGATTTTAAACATCAATATTTTCTTACCATGACCATTATCCTCAAGAACAAATTTCCCCGCCTCACCAGATAGTGCAATTTCTGAGGTTCCTGGATGTGGGCTGGATTTATAACAGTAATAAAGTGACATATCTGATGGGAGGAAGATTGGAATCAGAAGGAGTTGGGGGAGTAGGAAAGTGGGTGCATAAGTGTCCTGAGTAGAAATGCCATGGGAGTCACGGGGGGCTCCAGCCAAGCCTCATGCCCGAGAAGGATACTTGCCAGTTGGCGGAGCAGATACTTGGGGACCAGACTGAATCACAGTGGGAAACATCTCCTCTTTCTTCCTGATACTCTCAAGAAATGGGGACTAGGGCAGACGCCCCAAGAGGCATCCTGCCATGGCTGGGAGAGGATGCAAACTCTAGGGCAAGCTCTTAGGCTTAGCCTCCAGCTCTGTCACTAGCTGCTGAACTTAGGCAGTCAGAGAGTGGTGTCTTCAGTAGCCCCGAGGGCAAAATCCCAAGTAATTCATATCAAATTCCACAATCTTCTATTTAACAAGACTAATATGCCCTCTACCCAGCAAATACCAAATAATAAATTGGATGGGCCTTTCCAGTTCTTGCAAAGGAGAAAGTAAGAATATATGTGTAGATATAAAGAATGTAGGCTTTAAAGCCAAATTGCCAGGGTTCAAATGCCATCCCTTCCACCTACTAGCTAGGTGTCCTCTTATTGTCTCATTAAGCCCCAGTTTCTTCATCTGTAAACTGGGAATAAAAATAATTTCTATCTCAGAAGGTAGTTGTGAGGATTAAATGCAATGGTACATATAGATTTCTTAATACACTGCCTGACACAGAGTAAGCACTCAGTAGTTAACTACAGTAGTATTTTTCATCCTTAATATTTGAGACATGATGTTATGATGCCTGGTCAAGTTGAGGAAGACTGGAATGTCAAAGACATCACCTATGTAAATGTTTAAATCAAAAGGGCTTTCACAGAGTGTTTGACCTTCACATTTCTGTTTTTAAAAAAGGAATTAGTTGCTTTTATTCCTAATTGCAAAAGTATACATGAACACAATGTACAATTTGGATATTTTAGAAAGGCATAGAAATAACCATTGTTAATTATTTGATATATAATAATAAATATATAAATATATGTGCATATTTTAAACTAAACTGAATTTACACTACAGTTTTTAATCAGGTTTTTTGCACTGTGTTGTGAAAGTGACTTAAAAACATTTTTTTAAATGTGTATTTATTTTTGAAAGAGAGCGACAGAGCATGAACAGGGGAGGGGCAGAGAGAGAGAAGGGACACAGAATCTGAAGCAGGCTCCAGGCTTTGAGCCATTAGTACAGAGCCTAACGCGGGGCTTGACCCCACGAACTACGAGATTATGACCTGAGCTGAAGTTGGACGCTTAACTGACTGAGCCACCCAGGTGCCTCTGGACATGACTTTTTTAAAAAAACATCATGTTTTACTTCTGTAGACATTTTATTGCTGAATATGCAATAATTTAATCGGTGTTATATTGTTGAACATTTTGATTGTTTCCAGTTTTTACCTATTAAAAATTATAATGCTTATTTCTTAAGGATAAAAACTCTAGTAGAGAAAGATGGCACTACTTCAAGGCTTTTGATTCTTGTTCCCAGATTTTCCGCTAAAGAAGTGGTACCAGTTTACATTCCTCTCATGGGTAAAAGAATGCTCATTTCTCTGAATATTATAAAAATGTTTACCAATTTGATAGGTGAGAATTAGTTATTTTGCATTTGGATTTCTAGTGAATTTGAATATTTTAAATATGTTTATGGCCACTTATTTCTTAATGGAACATGTATCTGATGCTTTTTAAATTTTATTTTTTGTTATTTTTTTAATGTTTATTTATTTATTTTGAGAGAGAGAGAGAGAGAATGCAGGTGAGCAGGAGAGGGGCAGAGAGAGGGGAAGAGAGAGAATCCCAAGCAGGTTCTGCACTGTCAGAGAACCTTGAGATCATGACCTGAGCCGAGACCAAGAGTTGGGTGCTTAACTGACGGAGCCATCCAGGTGCCCCTTAAACCTTTTCTTTTTCTTTTTTTTTTTTTTCATTTTTTTTTTGGTAGTGAATATATTTAAAGTACAATTATCGTACACTTTTTCTCCCAACTGGATTGTAAGTTCCTAGAGGACAGAAATACCTATACTTCATTTGTCCCCCACAGTGTTGACAAGTATCTGTCAGATAAATACATCAGTGAACTGGGGGGCGGCTCAGTTGGTTGAGCTTCTGACTACTGATTTCTGCATGGGGCCTGCTTGGGATTCTCTTTCTCTCTGCCCCTCTCTCCAGCTCATGCTCTCTTTCTCTATCTCTCTCTCTTAAAAAAATATACCTTGGGGCACCTGGGTGGCTCAGTCGGTTGAGCATCCAACTTTGGCTCAGGTCATGATCTCACAGTTCATGGGTTTGAGCCCCGCGTCGGGTTTTGTGTTAACAGCTCAGAGCCTGGAGCCTGCTTCGGATTCTGTGTCTCCCTCTCTCCCTGCCCCTCCCTTGCTCTCACTCTCTCTCTCTTTCAAAAATAAATAAACATTAAAACTTTTTTTAATTAAAAAATACATTAGTAAACTGATATTTTTATTTTATTTGACCATAAAAGCTTTATCCTCAGTGATATTTTCCTATGTTACTTCCATTGTGGTTTTGGTCAGCTGACCTGGCAAGCAGAGGAATTAATTTGTTTGTTTAAGAAACTAATTTTAAGGGCACCTGGGTGGCTCAGTACGTTAAGCAACCGACTTCAGCTCAGGTCGTGACCTTACAGTTTATGGGTTCAAGCCCTGCATCTGGCTCTGTGCTGACAGCTCAGAGCCTGGAGCCTTCTTTGGATTCTGTGTCTCCCTCTCTCTCTGCCCCTCCCTTGCTCACACTCTGTCTGTCTGTCTGTCTGTCTGCCTCTCTCTCTCCCTCTCTCAAAAATAAATTAAAAAAAAAAACATTAAAAAAAAGAAACTAATTTTAGAAGAGACACTCAGTTGTGCTCAGGTTGTATTTATAGGAAGCAACCTTTGAAACTTTCAATATCATCAATTAACTCCCTCCTCCCCTGCAAGCTTTATTGGAGCTTGCTCATGAAATATAGGAATCCACTGACACATGTGGATTGTGTCATGGAAACTTGATCAAGGCAGAAGGTGACCCACCTCAAAATATCCACAGTCCCTAACTAACCAATGGGTTACTTATAACCAGGCACAGTTACGGAAAAAGGGAAAATTCTGTAAGTCACCATACCTCCTCATCTTCCCTCCTATAAAACAGCCCCCACCAACTGTGTCATCGTTGCTAATGGCCTCTCCTCTGCTCTTGTGCCCGCTGCTCCCTTATGGTATATTCAATAAACATCTATCTCCTTTGTTGTGCCCTGGGTGAGTCCTTTCACTGCCTGCACCACCGGCTTCCACCCAGTCGGTGCCCCCATCTGATCCGACAGGCAACACATTACGTAGTATTGAAAAGTGGCTGAGAAATGATACACATTTAGTAAGGGTGGGGTCCCCGTTGCTAATGTATTTGGATCAGCTCCCCTAATAATTTTACCTCAAATGAAAAAGAGAAGTCAAGCTCTTTGGGGCGCCTGGGTGGCTGAGTCTTCATTTGGGCTCGGGTCATGATCTCGTTGATTATGGGATTGAGCCCCACATCGGGTTCTGTACTGAGTGTGGAGTCTGCTTAAGATTCTCTCTCTTCTCTCTCCCTCCCTCAGCCTCACCTGTTTGTATGCCAAAGTGCTCGCTCTCTTTCTCAAAACAAAACAAAACAAAACAAAAAAACAGTCCAGCTCTAAGAATAAGATCTAAGTGGGGGACAGCAATCATGCTTCAGGCAGCAAAGCTGGTCATTGGGAGATTAGTGTATGACTTTGCCTTGAAGGGCTCTCTCTCTTTTTGAATGACAGATCATGGCCTTCTTGGAAAAGTGCTCTGCCACATTCTTTTTTTTTTTTTTTTAACGTTTATTTTTGAGACAGAGAGAGACAGAGCATGAACGGGGGAGGGTCAGAGAGAGGGAGACACAGAATCCGAAACAGCCTCCAGGCTCTGAGCTGTCAGCACAGAGCCCCACGCGGGGCTCAAACTCATGGACCGCGAGATCATCACCTGAGCAGAAGTCAGACGCTTAACCAACTGAGCTACCCAGGCGCCCCTGCCACATTCTTATTGATAAGCTTTCAAAAAAGAACAGAGCAGTGGGGAAGAAAGGAGGGGCCAGTGGGAGCCCAGACACCTTCACGGGCAGATGGGGACTTGCTCCCTTTGACTCGGGAGCAGT